AGAACAAGATGCCCTTGTGCCCGTTGACTGCAAGCGATATGTCCTGCCCGATCCCATTGGCGGTGACTAGCTGCGAGACCCCTTGCCAAACACGCCCAAGAATAATATTGCGACGCCGAACATCAGCGGTAGCGTCACGACGAGCACGAAGAGAAATGTGGCCCTGGGGAGAGACGAACTGCAGACTGTGCGTTTTGACATGCTCGAGAAACGCCTTCGAATCGGCGTCGCTCTCAAACTTCACACAGAAGGCTTTGTTGAGGTTGTGCGCGATGATCTGGGAGGGGGGCCTGATGCGCGAAGGCAGGTGAGGGATGACTGTGTCCTGCAGGTATTTCGTCATCACACGAGCCAGCATCGGAGCATTGAAACCACCAATCCATATTTTGGTGGGATCTGCTCCACGATCCACACTTCCCGAACCAGTAAAACTCGCAGCGGGAGGCGGGCCAGCAGACCTACTCCGCCAACGAGGGTGAGAGGCAATAGACGATGCACCAGAGACAGTGCTAGCGACATCAGATTGGGACTGAGAGCTTAGGATCTTCGCCTCCAGTCGTGCAAAAAGTGCCGTTTCTTGAGCGGTATTCAGACCTGACTTCACTTGTTCTTCTAGAGTATGCATGCGCTCGGTGAGCTGGGCGATGTTCTCCTCACTCTTCGTCACCGACGACTGCAGACCGAGGATGTCGTCTTTTGTGACCATGTTCTTTTCCATGCGCCCTAGAATCGCAACGAGATCAGCACCCCCATCAGGCCCGCGTGGACGAACCTGTCGCTGAAACTCGATAGCGTCCTCCATCGCATCATCACTGGAAGGGGACGCACCAGAGGTGAGGACAGAGGCAGAAGACATGGCAAGAGGTGTCCGTCCGAGCACGACACTCGGAATCGTTTCTTCAAGAGAAGCTGCCCGCCCAAATGGGACCTGTTCCCATCTTGAGCCAAAATGGCAACGGAGGAGGAGGAGGAGGAGGAGGAGGGGGAGGAGGAGGAGGAGGAGAAGGCGGAGGCGGGGGGAGCGTCGACCTGGAGTTCATCGGGTCGGGCATCGCCCCCTCCACAGGCGGATGTTGGACGAAACAAAAGAATACCCCACAAAATGCTCAAACATAGTCAACAAATATCGGGCCGGGCGAGAGGGGGGATAGCAAAGAGAGGTTTGAGAATCAGCTCACGTAGCTGATTTTCCCGTCGCCTTCCGGCGCCGGAGGCGGCCACGTATCGAGGAATGGGCCCCTCGGTGGAGCGGAAACCAGCTGCATGCAGCAGATTTCGTTTCGCCCCCCTTCCCCTCTCCCCCCCCCCTTTCGCCTGGCCCGACAATCATCGAAACATCGTCCCCAGACTAGTTATTTCGTTGGTTGTCTGTGAAACATTCCTCCTGTGGAGGGACATGCCCGACTTGTCGGCGGTGGACAAACCTCCCTTTAGCAAACCTCCCCTCAATGAAAACGGCCTGGGACCGAAGCCGACGGACCTGGACCCGCAAAAAGGACGGCCGCGACGCCCTCTCGCGAACCGAAAACGGCCAACTCCTTGATCGACGTGTCGGGGTAGGAGGTCTGCCCACCTCCGAAAGAATGGCCGAGAAATCGTCCCCAGACTAATGGAGGATGACGATTAATAAATGACCCGGGGTCGTGTTCACGCGGCGGCGCCCGGGATGACGATTAGAAAAAACCGGCCGCGGGCTGGAAAACTATCTTTTATCGTTCTCCTCCAGCCAGAAGATTATGCAGAGATAGCAGAAAACTATTTCTTGAATCGTTCTCTCCCATTTCTTTAACTAATCGCCATCCCGCATTAGTTTGTCGACTGCCTGTGGGACATCTTGGGCGTGGCTTAACGGGGGGGTCACACATGGGGGGGTCAGAAAAGGTCCCCTTTCGTGCCCCTTTCGGGCCCCTCCAGAGCCCCAGGGGGCTCGTTTAGGTACTGTTTGGGTGCCTTTTCGGACCACCCGCCACACCCCCCCATTTATGACCCCCCCATTACGCGGCGCCCAAACATCGACATGTCGGGGTAGGAGGTCGGCCCACCTCCGAAATAATGGCCGAGAAATCGTCCCCAGACTAGCTTGTCGACTGCCTGTGGTGACTACCTACCAGACCACCCCAACCCAACCCGAAGACCCGAATTTCGGGTTGGGGGGGGTAAGGGTTCCACACGTGTTTTTTCGATGCTTCCCGACCCCCCCCCCCACTGGAAATCGAGGGTAGATCTGAGCCTTCGGGTTGGGTTGGGGTGGTTTGGTGGGTGGTGATGTGGGACGTCCCTCCCGTGGAGGGGCGGACCCCTGAGTCCCAGCTGCATCCTTCTTGTTTCACTTTCTGGTTCCGGATTGGGGTAGTTTGATCGCCACTTCCCGCCGCGCAGGTTTGTCGGGGTAGGAGGTCTGCCCACCTCCGAAATAATGGCCGAGAAATCGTCCCCAGACTAATTAGCTTGTCGACTGCCTGTGGGACGTCCCTCCCGTGGAGGGGCGTGCCCGGCGTGGGCCCGGGACTCGGCGCCGCGCCGCCGAGGCGGCAGGTCGGCGGCGGGCCCCCGAGAGCGGCACCGCGGGCTCCGCGGGCTCCGTGGGCGGGCGGGCGGGCCTGCAGCGGCCGATGGCGTCGGCGGAGGGCGAGCCGCCCTTCTATAGCAAACCCCTCCTCCTCCCCCTTCTCCTCTCCCTTCTCCTCCTCCTCCTCCTCCTCCTCGTCCTCCTCCTCCTCCTCCTCCTCCTCCTCCTCCTCCTCCTCCCCCTCCTCCCTCCTCCTCCTACCCCTCCTCCTCCTCCCCTCCTCCTCCTCCCTTCTCCTCCTCCTCCTCCTCCGAGACCGACGTGCGACCCCAGACCGCTCCCACTCAGGGCGATCGCAGGCACGGATCGAGGGGGCGTGGACTGTCGGGTCGGGCGAAAGGGGGGGATAGCAAAGGGGGGGTTCGAGAATCAGCTCACGTCGCTGATTCTCCCGGCGCCTCCCGGCGCCGGAGGCGGCCAAGTATCGAGGAATGGGCCCCTCGGAGAGGTCGAAACCAGCTGCATGCAGCAGATTTCGTAACCCCCCCTTTCCCAATCCCCCCCTTTCGCCCGGCCCGATAGTGGCAACGGCCCATAGGACCGACCGCAACCGACGGACCTGGACCCGCAAAAAGGACGGCTGCGGCGCCCTCTCGCGGACCGAAAACGGCCCATTCACCCATCGACGCGTCCAGGGTAGAGGTCTATCCAACTCCGACTATCGGGTCGGGCGAAAGGGGGGGATAGCAAAGGGGGGGGGAGAATCAGCTCACGTAGCTGATTCTCCCGGCGCCTCCCGGCGCCGGAGGCGGCCATGTATCGAGGAGTGGGCCCCTCGGAGAGGCCGGGGCCGAAACCAGCTGCATGCAGCAATTTCGTACCCCCCCCTTTCCCAATCCCCCCCTTTCGCCCGGCCCGATAGTGGCAACGGCCCATAGGACCGCAACCGACGGACCTGGACCCGCAAAAAGGACGGCTGCGGCGCCCTCTCGCGGACCGAAAACGGCCCATTCACCCATCGGCGCGTCAGGGTAGGAGGTCTATCCAACTCCGACTATGAGGGGGCGATGGCAGACACTCCAGGGAGCCCAGCCTGGGCCCCTGGTCTTCTGCCTTCCGAGCCATGGCTCTGGCTGTGGATGTCAGGACAGTGGTCACTCTAACAGTCCCGTCATCGAATGAACGATGCGTTGATAACACGTTTGGAGCACAGTTTACACATGCTTGAAGCACGGTTTTGATATGTTGAAGACATGTTTGACACATCTTGTAGACATCTGGAGACGATTTGGCAGCACGCGTCCTCTCCACTGGTCGACTTCCAAAAAAGGCTCTGGCCTCTGGCGGTCGCTCGGGACCAGCCTGGGGGCCCCCGGAGTGCTCTCGGCGAGAGGCGCGGCCGCTGGACAGCGCCCAGAGGCCGCAGGGCCGCCGAGAACGGGCGAGACAGCCCGCAGAACCTCGAACCTCGAGACCTCGCCCCTCCTGGCTACCCACCAGACCACCCCAACCCAACCCGAAGGCCCGAATTTCGGGTTGGGGGGGGGTAAGGCTTCCATACGTGTTTTGTTCGATGTTCCGCGAACCCCCCCCCCCAGTGGGAATGGAGGGCAAATCTGAGCCTCCGGGTTGGGTTGGGGTGGTTCGGTGGGTGGTGACCTCCTGAGGCAGTCAGAAGGCGGCCAGGGGCCTGAGCTGGTTGGCCCTCTGGGCCCCAGGCAAAGTCGGTCAAGAAGGGTGGAGGCAGATCCGCTCAAAATGGGTCGGACCCCTCCGCCGGAGACCCTCTGGCGCAATTGCTCACACCGTCGATCTGGCGCTGCTGAGCGTTGGTAGTCCCCAAACGTGGTGGTGACAACACCTGGCGGTGATTCTCGGGCGATTTGGTGTCACCACCAGGTTTGGGGACTCGTGCGGTTTTCCGAGGATGTCCCGGACATTGGTGGGTCCAGGAGTCACAAAACCCGGTGGTGACCCCGCGTCCCCAAACCCAGCGGTGACCTTTTTGGGGATTCCAGGTCGCCACCTAGTATCTCACCACCCGGTTTGGGGGTTCCCAATGCTGGCCCCGGGGCCCGAAGGCGGCCCCGAAGGAGGCCCGGAAGAGGCAAGACCTGCCTCGAGCCCAGCACCTCGGACGATCCCCCGCCCCTCCCCTGCGGGCCGGAGCCGCTGCAGGGGCTACCTCCGGCCGCCCCCGCGGGCTCCGACGCCCGCCATGGCCCTCGACCTCGGACCACCACCCCCTCCTCCCCTCCCTCCTCCTCCCTCCTCCCCCCCTCCTCCTCCCTGTCCTCCCTCTCCTATCCTCCTCCTCCTCCTCCTCCTCCTCCTCCGCCTCCTCCTCCTCCTCCTCCTCCTCCTCCTCCTCCTCCTCCTCCTCCTCCCCTCCTCCCCCTCCTCCTCCTCCTCCTCCCTCCTCCTCCCCTCCTCCTCCTCCTCCTCCTCCTCCCTCCTCCTCCTCCTCCTCCTCCTCCTCCTCGGCGCGCGCCTCCAGGTCCGGCACTATCTGGAGGTCCTCCTGCTGCCGCGCGCGCGCGCGGAGGCGCGCGCCCACGCTGCGCCGCGAGGGGGCGGCCTCTCTCTCCTCCTGGGGCTCACGAGCCTCGCATTGTGGATGCCACGGCAGTGGACACCCGAAGCGTGCGAAGAGTCCTATCAGCGAATTAAGCATGTGTTCAAAATGACGGAGCATGTCCTGGATATGTTCCAAACCTGTTTTTGCTGACATAGCAAACCTCGCTGACATACCTTCTGGACATCTGGACACTATCTGGCAGCATGCCTCCTCTCCATTGATCGTCCTCCACAAGGCCAGCACGATGTGTTCTCCCCGGAGGCGCGCGTCCGACCCGAACACGCATACCTGGTGCAGCCATCGTGCGGTGTGTTTCGCTTCCCGGGTGGAGCGGCCAGCAGGCGCCCGCCACCGAGCAGGGAGCGTAAGATCTCTCGGCGGGCGCTGCGCCCCTGGGGTCAGGGCGGACATGTCCCCCCTAAAAGCGGACTTGGGGCGAAAGATAACAAATGATCTAACAAGATTCAGGCATGGTCAAAAAAACATAGAAAAATCGTCCCAAGACGATTTTATATGTGCATGCATGATCCTCCTGTAGAGGGTCAAGCCCGACTTGACCCTGGGGTGCGTGCGCACACAGTAACAGCAGTAGCATGCTTACACGTCGTTCATTTCTAATCGTGCTCATCTCTAGCTGTGTTCGTTTCTCATGGTTCCTGGCCCCCTCGTGGCCAGGAAGAGGCCCATGGTAGAACAATTGGACATGAAAGGTCTTGGCCCCCCAGAGAGTCAAAGAACTTCCGAAGAATGACACATGAACAACGTGTCATAGCAACAGCATGCCTGTGGGTGATGCCGGCTCCTGCCGCAGGCCTCCCGCACCCAAGGGGGGCGCCCCGCGGACCGGGGGCGCCCGAGGCAGAGACCCCCCCGACGACGAAGGAGGAGGAGGAGGAGGAGCAGGAGGAGGAGGAGCAGGAGGAGGAAGAGGAGGAGGAAGAGGAGGAGGAGGAGGAGCAGGAGGAGGAGGAAGAGGAGCAGGGAGGGGAAGGAGAAGGAGGGAAGTATGAAGGAGAAGGTGGAGATGCAGGAGGAGGAGGAGCATCAGGAGGAGGAGGATGAGCCATGAGAGGAGACATGAGGTAAAGGAGGAGGAGGAGGAGGAGGAGGAGAGGAGGAAGAGTGAGCAGGAGGAGAAGGAGAATGAAGGGAAGTAGTGGAGGGAAAGGTGGAGAAGCAGGAGGAGAGGAGAGCAGGAGGAGGAGGAGAGGAGGAGCAGGAGGAGGAGGAGAGAAGAATAGACCAGGAGAGAAGGAGAAGAGGGAATATGGGAGAAGGTGGAGAACAGGAGGAGGAGGAGAAGAGGAGGAGCAGGAGGAGGAGAGGAGGAGCAGGAGGAGGAGGAAAGGAAGAGGAGCAAGGAGGAGAAGGAGAAAATGAGGGGAAGTATGATGAGAAGGTGGAGGAGAAGGAGGAGGAGGATGAGCACAGGAGGAGGAGGAGGGGGAGGAGGAGCAGGAGGAGGAGGAGAACGAGGGAAGTATGGAGGAGAAGGTGGAGGAGCAGGGAGGAGGAAGGGGCCGTCGGCGGCCGTCGCGTCGGGGGGCCCCCCCCTGCGGAGCCACGACGGGCGGCTCTCGCAGAGGCCTCCCAGGATTCGGAAGCCTCCTCCTCCTCCTCCTCCTCCTCCTCCACCTCCTCCTCCTCCTCCCTGCCTCCTCCTCCTCCTCCGCTTCCTCCTCCCCCTCCTCCTCCTCTCCGTCCTCCTCCTCTCCTCCTCCTCCTCCTGCTCCTCCTCCTCCCTAAACACTTGCGCTGGACGAGAAGGGGGCCAGGGAGCGTCATTATTGAAATAAGAACAAAGTGGCCACGAAACCGGGGGAGGTATCGTGGCCCCCGCCATGGTATCCCCCCCCCTAGTCCTCACCCCCCTCTGGGCCGCCCCCGGAAGATGGGGTCGGAGCAGATGGGGTCGGAGGATCGCACCGCATCGCCGACACATCGGCGATGCGTCGGCGATGCATCGGCGATGCGGCGCGATCCTCCGACCCCATTGCTCGGAACCCAAACCAAAAATAAAAAACCAATAAGGGGTATCAAAAGGAAAAATAAAAAGGAAAATAGAATCAATAGAAAGAGATAAAAACCAACAAATACCAAAATAATAAAAAGATCTACATAAATTACTAGAAAGTAGACAACAGCTGGGAGGCCTGCTTAAAGTCGGTGTCGGCCTCAGGGGGCCCTCACCTGGCCTCGGGACCGCGGAGGAGCAACTGGGGACCAGAAGTCAAGTCCCAAAGAAGGTTGGGTCGGGCATGCTCTCCTGCAGGCGGCTTTTGGACGAAAAACAGAGTCACAGGTACAAAAAATGTCCAGAAATCATCGAATGATCGTCCCCATAATGGAGGATGACGATTAATAAATGACCGGGGGTCGTGTTCACGCGGCGGCGCCCAGGATGACGATTAGAAAAAACTGGCCGCGGGCTGGAACACTATTTTTTTCAAATCCGTCAGAAAGTTGTGCAGAAATCGCAGAACACTATGTTTGAAATCGTTCCCCCCCCCCATTTTGTTTATTAATCGTCTTCCCGCATTATTTTTGTTTGACTGTGTTTGAACCTTCCTCCCGTAGAGGGACGTGCCCGACTGAACGGTTCGGGGTCCAGAGCTGCGGGGGCCCGCGCAGGGAACATAACCACGACGCCGGGGCTCCGGGGAGGGGGGCGCCCACTGTGGGGCGCAGAGAAAACATACTAATAATGCGGGATAACGATTAATAAAAAAATGGGGGGAACGATTAAGAAAATAGTTTCCTGCTATTTCTGCGGGGGCCCGCGCAAGGAAAAGAACCACGACGTCGGGGACTCGGGGGAGGGGGGCGCCCACTGTGGGGCGCAGAGAAAACATGATGCGGGATGACGATTGATACACAAAATGGGGGGGGAACGATTAAAAACATAGCTTTCTGCTATTTCTGCCCAAGTTTCTGACTGGAGGAGGAGGATTTTGAAAAATAGTCTTCCAGCCCGCGGCTGTTTTTTTCTAATCGTCATCCTGGGCGCCGCCGCGTGAACACGACCCCCGGTCATTTATTAATCGTCATCCTCCATTACTAATACTGCGTCCTCGTTGGAGGCGTGCGTCCAGCCAGGTCATATACACGCATCCTGTGGCACACCGCTGCCCCAGCGCTCAGTGGGCCCTGGAAGCGACAGGGCCGTGTTTTACGGGCTCCGTCTTGCCGCTTCGCTGCCGGTTCCGACGCCGTTTTTTTGTCCAGCTCCGCCGCCGTTTGTTTACGAGCTCCGGCCCCGGATCCAATCCGGGCGCCTTTCTTGTGTCGCCGCTTCCGGTCGCCGCTGTGTTTTCGTTTCCATGCTCAAGAGACGCTTTCTCGGAAACGATGACAACAAAAAACGGCCCTGCCGCTCCCGGGACCCACGGAGCCCCAGCGGGGTGACCAGCAAGCGCCCGCCACGGAGCAGACACAACCCGGCCTGCTGTGCGCACGCGTCGCCCCCCCCCCCTCTCTGGGGGCGACGCGCATACCTTATCTGGAGGGTTCCTAGGAGGGTCCCTTAGCTGATGAGGGCGACGCACACAGCAACATTACCTACGGTGAGGGCACCGAACTCACATCCTTGCTCGTCCTGTAGTCGGGCGCCTCCTGCGGTCAGCTGCCAACCTATGCGCTGAAGGGTGAGCACCAGCGCCGCAATCGGGTCCCGCACCGCAGCCCAGGGCCTGTGGCAGTGCTGCAGCCGCTCCGCGTTCTGCAGGCAAGCTTGGACCGCTGCAGGCCAGGCCTGCTTGGCCCAGGTGGCACTGCAGTAGGCCTGGACCGCCATGCCAGAGGTAATCACCAGCGGGTCCTGCCGCCAGCCGCGCGGGGCGCACTGGAGCACATAGCTCAGCGCCGCTCCAGGGGGCAGCCTGCCAGCGCTCTTGGCCGCCGCCACTGGCAGGGCGCGCATCCTGCCAGGGGGCACTCCTGAGGTAGCTGATCCCCAGACGGTGAGGGCATTGGATAAGGAACCATTGGATAACGAACCAAGGGTCTGGAAGCCGCTTGAACTCTAACAGTGGATTGGCCATGGATATCACCGCCGCCCTTATCAGGAAAGGAATCCTTCAGGGTCTGAAGCCTCCTGGACACATTCCTTCACCAACGCCCCCACCTTAGCATGCAAGCATGTCTGGTGGAAGCCGACACTGCGGGAAGTGCCCTCCCCCCTGGAAAGCGAGCGCGGCTCCACGACCCCTTCACGCACAGCTCGCGTGATCGGGAACGGTAGCGAGGCCCAGTGCGGCACCGGCAAAGAGTAGGGACCGACCGTCCCGGGATTCCCATAGCCCTACCAAGACATGTTCTCAGAGCACAAACATGATCTAAGAACAAAACAATGATCTTACAACATAAACCCGATGTGATACAACAGGACAGTGTCAGCCAGACATGTTCTAAGAACACTTCGTGGAAACCACAACAGGTTCTTAGAACACTGTTTGGTAGCACGCCTGGACGCTTCGCCATTGCTTGAGTGTAGATGTGCGATCCTGATCAGCGCTCCAGCCCCCCACGAAGACCGGAACGGCCAGGACAGTGGAAAGCGCGCGTTCCGCAGTGGAGCATGGGGGGGGCGTCCAGGCCGGGCGTCGCAAGGCGTGGCACGGAGCACGTGCGCGGCCCAGAGGGGGGGGGCCAGAGGAGGCATTGGGGCGAGGGGAGGGGGCCACAAAGGACGTACGCGCCCAGCTATGTACATGAACACGGCCCCTTGACCCGTGAGACCTGCCGCGTGATACGAACGATCGCGCAATGCGAACTCTCGAAACCAGCTTGGATTCATGTACGTGTACGTCCTTCTGTTGCTCCTGAAGGAGGGGGCCACGAGGTCGGGAGAGATGCGATGGCCCCGGCCGTGATATCCCCCCCCCTTGGTCATCGGCAGGGCTGAACCTAAACGGTGTCTTTCGTGTTCGCTTTGTGCTCGCTGTCCTTCGCTTTCCGCCCTTGCCGCAAAACGAAGTCGAAACGCACACAGCCCACGAACTCACCAAAAACACCGCTCAGGTCCAGCCCTGTGGGAAACGAGTTGTCAAACGCCCTGGATCTGGCGCCCCCGACGGCGGCAAACATGATTCGGGGATGGACACGGCCTCCTCTAGTAAAGCGTGGCTTCGTGAAAACAACCTCGGGCCCCAAAACCTGGCGGGCGCAAGCCTGGCAAATGACGGCCGCGGCGCCCTCTCGAGAGCCGAAAACGGACCATCAGTCCCCTGTGGACCACCCCAGGGCTGGAGGAGGAGGAGGAGGAGGACGACGAGGAGGAGGAGGAGGAGGAAAAGGAGGAGGAGGACGAGGAGGGAGAGGAGGAGGAGGACGAGGAGGAGGAGGAGGAGGAGGAGGAGGAGGAGGAGGAGGAGGAGCGGCTGCACGCACGCGCGGCCCTCCAGACCAGGAGCGCGTTCGGGAGCCTCCGCCGGCTCCCTGGGGTCTTCTCGCCCCGAAATGCTCTGCAGCAGCGGCGCTTCGCCGAGAGCGTCCCCCCGGACCTCTCCGGCGCTGTGCTCTGTTTCGCAGCGTGGGCCTCCAGAGCTTCGCTGCCCCGATACGCAACACGCAGTACGAAGCGTATGGTTACGGAGCTCAGCGCGTAGCTTGAGCACGCACGCCTGGCGCAGAACGTTCGCCAAAACGTGGGCCAGCACGTGGAGCCAACACGCAACGTGTCAACACGGACGCCTTGAACACGGTACGTGCTGCGTTTCCAGACGGGCGTATGGAGGCAGCCAAGCTCCAAAGATCTCAGCCATGTCCCCAAGACCGGACTTTCATCCCGAGTGGTTCTGGACGGCCCCAGCGGCCTACAGCTGCCGAAGACCTCCCGTCGTTAACTCTGCCAAGTCTTTAGAACCCCCT